ATCCCTTTCGGATTTGAGCGGATCACCCATGACGTCATGAGCGACAGATGCTGGTCGTCAACCTGTTCTTCCTTCTTTCGTCCACCTCCCAGCATATCACGGAGCATATCCGACAGCTTCTCTTGGCGCTTGGCGCTTTTCAAGTGGTGTCTATGTAGTCCACCCTCAAGAGCTTCATATCGCTTGTGGGTAGGGACGACCTCTTTGCCCTGCTTCTTCTCTGCCTCGGGCTTTTTGTCCGACTGTTTCGATGAGCTCTGGGAAATAGGGCCCGCGGGGATGAGATCGCCGGGCGGGGTTGTGGAGCCTGGGGAGGTCTGCAGCGGGGATGTGCCGTCACTCGCGCGACTCTGGGCAACCGCATCCTTCACGGCCTGGACATCCCTGTTGGACATTTTGCCGGTCTGGAACATGCGAGAAAAACGGTTGCTCATCTTCTGTTTCTGTGGTTTAAGAGAAGACACCGCATCTCCGTGTGGCGATGATGCAGGAACCGGGAGATGGGTGTCTTCCATAGCCTTTGTTATCTGGTCGCCATTCGGATCGTCTGAGGTCTGCGATGTCGATGAAACTGTTGAGGGTGTAGACAGTGGAACGGATGGATTCATGTGCGTCGGTCGTAAGTAGGTAAAGCGTTAAAGAGGAGTCAAGAACGTGACTCCAGAGGGGGCCGCGGGTGACTACACCAGCGAGTGGGGTGGACGGGATGAATGACACAGCTGTCAGGAGGAAGAATAGCAAGATCTGTGGATGTGAGGCAGAGAGAGATATTTAATATTTATGCAGAATCGGCCAGGGTTGCTGCGGAAGTATACTTTGTTTATGTTGGAGGCGAAATTCAAGCGCAAGATTCCGAAGTATCGAAGGCAAAAAAAAAGGAATGATAGAATGGCAGAAAAATTAAACGCGGATTTATGCTAGCAGAGCGGCGACATTGTAGGTTTTGATTTGCAAACGGCCTTTATATTTGTATAATGGTATATGTATATAGACGACGGAAACAAGAAAGCAAACGGGAGGAAGTCGACGAAGAGGGAGAAGTGGCCAGGTGGGACGAAGCCCGGAGACGGGGGACCATAGAATTGAGGACGACCACAAATAGAGGATGGTCTGGAAGCCGACAAGAATCCGCCAAAGAAGAGAGCTCTCCAGGGGATTGAGGAAAGGAATAACGAGAAGAAGCAGAAGAAGAAGAAGAAGAAGAGGCAGAGAGCAGAGAAGCAAGGTATAAAAGAGGAGAGGAGAGGAGGAGGAGAGAAAGAAAAAGAGGGAAAAAATAGTTCGGGGCGGCGAAAGGTAGAAATATCACCACATAACCAAATACGGACACCGGCCACAGTAGCAACAGCAGCAGTAATAATAGTAATAGTCTGCAGTGGTTACTTACCACAGCACAACCCTCCTCCTCCTCTTCCTCCTCCTCCTCCTCCTGATCCTCCTCCCTCCTCCTTCTCCTCCTTATCCTCCCGCTTCCCCTAACCTGCTCCCTTGCACGGCGTGTGGCCGAAGCTTCTGCAGCAGGGGATCCATTGATTAGTTCACGAGGCTAGCGGGTGGAATGTCCCCATTGGCAGTGGCTGGTTACATACATACATACATACTTACTTACTTACGAACATGCATACGTACATACATACAGCGATACAAGCCTGACTTACGTACAGGCTGACGGCGAGTGGCTGCGCACAACGCTCGCCCCTCGCCTGGGGCCGGCGGAGTGAGGGGGCAGGTGAAATGATATGGTATGGTATGGTATGGTTCCGTGTGCTGTCCTGTACGGTAACGCCCCTTACCCACAGAGTCTTAGAAATGCTGTCCATTACAATTACAAAGCGGGCGCTGGCGGTGCGTGTGGATAGCGAGTGGATGATTCCTGAGCAAACAAACTTGGTTAAAGGGACGAGGGGACAAATCTCCAAACGAACTTGTGGTGAGTGTGAGGGGTTTTTCCTTTCCTTTCCTTTCCTTACTTTTTCTTTTCTTTTTCTCTTTCCTTTTTCTTTTTCTCCTTCTTACTTTTTGGCTGCTTGCTGCTGGCTGACATGTTTGCTCCTTCGTCTATCCTCGGGTAAGCCTTTTGAAACAAGTCCCCAGTTTATTTTCGTGGGCCCTTTCTGGCTTCTTCCCTCATTTTTGTCCCTCGTGAAAGGTGAAAAGGGGGCCTAGATAGATATATGTCCCTCCACCCGCAAATCGAGGGTGAGTTTTTTTGAGCTTCTTGTATTCGGGGATTCGCCTGTGGCTGATGAAAGGGCCCCCTTCTTGGCCGCGCATCCTTTTTTGCGTCTTTGACCCATACCCATGCATGCCATCGCATCATTCAATACTAGCGACCCAGCAGGACATGTTTTTGATGGGAAAACATCGTGGGGTCAAGCTCAGGCCACCATGCAGTCAATGCTTAAGTTTGCCTTTTTCTTTTTCTTTTTTTTTGTTTCTTTTTCTTCTGGTTCTTTCCAATAATAAATAGTTACTATATCAATAATATTTTTTGGGATTCTTGTGGTGTGGTAAGAAGAGGAAGAGTCTCCTCTGTACAGTACAGAGTGGAGAGTACAAGAATAAAATAGTACCCCTTATATTACTCACCGCCGATTTCCCCCCTATTATCCCCTTTCCTCCTCGCCTTTTCGGGGCGGTCGCTACCTTACTAGGTACCTTGTAGGTAGCACTGCTGTTGTGCGATTCCGTTGCAGTTTACCGTGCGGGGGAAAAAATGATGAGAGGACCTCTGGATATTAGGACAGAATGCATCGGGCTATAAAAAGCTTGTTTATCAAGGAACAGTGATGGCCCTCCTTTCCATTGTCTGTTCGCGCCTTAAGACGTCAAAATATTACACTGGTCGCGCCGCATTTGGTCAAGACTCTGCACTCGTGCGCTGTACCTCGTCCACCGCCATCAGCGTGGGTAAAGAGAAGGAACTTTTCTCCTTCATTCAAATAACGTGCGGATGGAGGAGCGGAATGAAGACCTTCCATAAGCTAGCTAGACAATGAAATGATAAATTTGTTTGCATACCAGTTTTACGACTACTCAAGAAAAAGAGAGAAAGAAAGGAAGGAAGGAAGGAAGCCGGTGGGTGGTTCATGGCTTTGACGCCTCCAAAGCTCGATTGTCAAGTTTGGTGCCCAAAGGTCTCTCTAACTTCTCAAAGGCGTTTGTTCCACAAATTCTGCTTTTAACTTGGATTACTATCGGCTCTTTTCTGATCGCTCTGGCTACAAGGGACAGGTAGAACGTATTCATGCGCGACATTCACACAGGCCAAAGGCAACTACAACAGCCCTCACCTCCGGATCGGTCCTCTGGTTCAATATTACTCTGTGGGAGACACGAAAATTCCTTTGTCTTTTCAAGGCGGTATCCATAAGAATGGAAGGCTATTTATGTTTTGTTTCTTCATGTCGATGGAGAGGAAATTCTCAGCCATACATTTCTTGGAGGTCGATCATACATCGATCGATCCACTTCCACAAAGCCTCACCAGTTTTGAATGCGGAGCTTGCAACTCTGAGCCCTACGATACCGTGCTGACCGTACCGTGAAGACCACTGTGAGACAAGAGTCAATTTCCTCGCAACCGTCAAATCAACTTGAGTCCCCTTCTTGAAATGTTTCTCCTCTGCCGCTCTAGAGTGATCGTCATCTTCCTTCAAAAGTGCATGTACCCCCATATATGTATCTTGGGACTGTCTTATTTTGAACTCCTCCAAAAGATGGCCCTTGTTAGGATTGGTGATTACCCAGAGGTCATTTAAGACGGGGTAATCCACGACAGTATCGAAGCTCAGGAGTCGAGAAATCAACCACATGGGGCGGCTAAGTTGTAGGCTTCGGCACAGGAGAGTGTTTTCTGCTGGATCGGCTCGATTTGACGTGCTGTAGGCTGCCTCGCTAAAGCCTCGCCGAAATTCCTCTCGAAACACTTCTGGCAACTCATGTCGCGATTGAGGAAGGCCAGGTTCTGTGATGGCCAATGATAGCGGCACAGACGAACAGAAAGCCCAGTCGATGAGGCACGTAATGTTATATTCCTCATCAATGAAGATATTGTTGACACTGATGTCCGGATGGTGTAATGAGAAATAGCACGAGTCCTCCTTAAGAGATGTGTCCCTAACCCACTTTTCCCGCATATCAGCAAGTAGGTCACTCACAATCATATAATCGGTCCGATTATCGAAGCCATCGATTTTGGAATCTATGGCGACGAAATCATGCCATCGATCACGGGCACGCTCGAATTGGTTACTGTCCTCAAACTCCTCGGGTAAAGGGAATGGTGCGAGAAAGCAGTGTGCATTGAGGGGAAGGAGGCTGGCATGCTCTTGAAATGCTGAAATCAACGCCTTGTAGAAGTCAATAGTGGAGGTGAAAGGGCCGCGGTTTAGAGGCAGAGTGTGTCTCTCGCACACCAGCAGCCCTCGCGCCAGGCAAGTCTTGATCACTGGGCCACGTGGGCCTTCAAAGAGTGATCCGATCTGATCAAACTTAAGTTGGCATAACTGCCATGTAATAGACCCAAGCTGGCGCAGAATTTTTGCCTTGTCATCTGAAGACATATGCGTCCAGCGGGGTTGGAGGGGAGATCCAGGAGCTTTGCTCATTAAGATGTAGGGGATCCCTATATCATTCTCCTTAGAGCAACTTTTCTTCGTAAGTTTTGATACTAATCACGACCCCTTGGGGGGCTATGGCATATAATTTATTTACCTATATGCGAAGACCTCGGGAACGGGAATGAAGCTGTTAGATCTAAGATATTTGAGTGTGACAGCTTCACTCTCCAGCAACATAGAGTTTGTTCGAGGGCATGGAATAACTCCATTCTCATTGAGGGGCGATCTCAGGAGCCATTCCACTCCATCAAGAAAAATAATAGAGATAGCCCAGTTCAGGCTGCCACTGAACGGAGCTTGAGATGAATCACAGTGACAACTAATTCCACCGCGAAGACCACTGGCGAGGCAGCAAAGAGCATCAATGTTGAATTTGGCATAGCGGAATATCTTTGGACGCTGGCTAGCTGAAGGCATCTTAACTTACTTGTTTGCCGCGTTAACCATGAAACCTGAAGCTGTTCCAGCATGGGCCAGTCAGCAGGAGGCTTACAGTGCCGGTTTAAATATTCTCCGAACCTCTGTTCTGCGTAAAACATGCATTCCACACTACTACCTCCTTCACAACAGCAGATATAAGTATTTAAATACCAGGATAAGTATCTCTTCATAGTATGAAATCCATCGATACCAGAAAAATATATGCATTTGTAAGTACTAGTATATATAAATGGTCAGGATTCCAAAGATTGAAGACTCTACTAACAGTGCAGTACAAAACGCGGGTCAGGGTCCTTAAACCACTCCACCAGCCGGTGCAGGCGCCGGTACTCATATCCTGTTAGGCCACTGGGACGCAGGGTCGAGAGAAGCCTGTGGTATGACAGAAACAGAGAGATTGACCAGCTGGTAGGTGGGCGTGAGAGAATCCCGCCCGTGTCTTTGTTTAATCACATGGCAGCTGACAATAGTGACACAATAGGTAGCAGCCATCCGACGACCCCTCTTGACCGCCGTTCTACTGAAACTAGCTTAAATAGGAAAAAAGGTGTAGTAGTCAGTTGTTATCATCGGGACCCTTCCGTTCAACAGATCAAAGGCATCCATTTGGAACATGCAGCACGCAGGCTGTTCAACAGGCACAAAACTATATCTATATCCTAGTATCTAACAACAACAAGACTTGAGGTTTGGGTAGGAAGATCCCTCAGCTCCCTTTTAGGGTAGATAGCAAGAATGACTCATGAATCCTCGAATAAGATATTGTGTCCGTGCTTACCAAAGTGCCGTGTTGATGAACAGTCAACAGTAGTGGATCCCCTAACGCAGATGCCATCGAACAATAAAAATACCTCAAATCACAATCAACTTACGCAGCGTAGTTACGTAGTGCGTCATTTCGGGGTTGCCCATGGATATAATACGGGGAGTAGACACGTCGAAGGGAACCCAACGGCGCGCCCGCTAGCCACGACGGAGCATCGAAATGAAAGGGGGACTGATCAGTGGGTGGTCAAACATACTACCCACCCCTCTCCCCATTTTATCGGTTCTATAGTTAAGTATCATAAGTATACTTTGATGTATTCCGATCTCTCTCAGCCCCTCTTTATAACAGCCTCTCCAAATCCGGATCTGTATAACTGGCACCTAGGCTCCGCATTGAGTATATAAAGTAAAAAGCAAGAGAGAAAAAGCATTCACCGCCCAGATCTCGACTCATATTTGTCTCGCGTGCTCGGCCGCACATTTCCCATTTCCCCTCAAATACGCGTATCTGGCCGTAAATGACAGAACCGCAATACGCCTGATGTGGTATCTGCGTGTATAAATGACGGGCGCCACGTAAAATACTTAAGCCCCAACCACGATCTCCACTGCCACATATTATGCGCATGTGGGTGCACCCAGGCGCTGCACAAGAAATCAAGTTTCGCCCGAAGTCTGGTTTGCATATGCACGGCCTGCCAAGAGCGGCCTAAGCCTTATTTTGTCTGCCTCCCAACAAGCTGTCCACTTTGTCCCTGTGGATCGCACGTCCAGTCGACGAAATGGGTGTGCTGTTCTTTCTCTGATTCTTCTGGTGTTCTCTTTCACAGCCATTTCCCATTTCCCATTTCCCATTTCCCTCCTCTCTCTCTCTCTCTCTCTCTCTCTCCATTCAATTCTTTCTTGTCTCACCTGATGTAACCGCGTGATAAAATAGTTGCATTTCCGCAGGAGACGGTGACTGTGATCTGTGTCGCAGCTTTTTTGTTTTCTACCATGCGATGGAACAATTACCATATGCTGTACACGGACGAAAGCCTCAATATTCCAGACACGCTAGTATGTCCACGGAAGTAATAATAGCCAGCTAGGGTATATCTCCCGGGAAATACTCGGGAGTGAAAAGTAATGGGGATATTGAAAAGAAGGGAGGGGTTTAAAGAGGAAAAAGGGAACCGTAGCTCTCTCATGTCGCCTTTATGCCACCTTTATGCCATTCGCTGTTGTGTAGCAAGCGATGCGGTCTGTTCCACCACTTGACGGCAAGCTGCAAGGTGACTGGCAACTGATAAGCAGATTTTTTTTGACACAGAATTATTCTAGAACAATAGTCAAATCATCGACAATGTGAGGAGAGGGTGGGTAGAGTTTGCTCAATTGATTTCCCCAAGGGGTTCTTTTTGCTTCTCATAATCCCTTTAGTTTCTGCATTTATAAATTACCCCCCCCCCCCCGATTTTTTTATCATGTTGTGGAAGGAAGAAATGAGGGCGACAATGCGATTCAGAATTCCCCATTTTTTTTAATGTTTTTTAGCATCAGCGCTTGAAAATAAATGAAGCCCTACATTTCGTATGTTTTAACTTACATATACGCCGCTTGAGCTGAAAGGCGCCCGGGGCTTGTTGGAAAGGTAGAGTTGTCCTTTTGTGATTTTCCCAAAGAAATATCGCGGGATCTGGTAAAGAAAGATAAGCTTGCAAAAAGCAATTATATACAAAAATGAAGAGGCCCTGGAGGCTGATTGCTTCTCATTGTTATCCCTTTTCTGCTGTTTTGTTTTTGCATTTCTCTCCGTTTTTCCCCCTACGCCCTTACCTAGGTACTCTATGGGTTTTTTCCCCACCGTGCTCAATGGGTCAGGGAATGTAACTCCCATCACTGTGCAAAGGCAGGCAGGTAGGTATATACGGCACTTACAGCCGAGGGCCCGAGTAGCTAGGGACTAGCCACAGGGAAGAACCCATGCCCCAAATTTGCAGATTCTGGACAGATGCATAACAAAACTCCCTCTCTCCCTCCCTTTCAGCTCAAGCACGCCCATCCGCGCACAACGCGCGACCAGGTTTTCGATCCAATCGAACCACCACGAAGTCCATTTTGTTATTTGTTGTTATCTTACATGCTTTTCGATAGAGGAAGGGAATGAACGAACGGTGAGAAAGTTAACTATGTGCTTTGCAGCCGCCGTCAATCCCACACATCCCACATCCCACACATCCCACCACATCCCACACATCCCCACAACCTCCAAACTTTTCCCCTGGTCTTGTTGGCGATAATTAGGTTTCTTTTCCTCCCTTTCCGAACCGCGTGCATGGCGCTAGGGCACCGTCGTCTCGAGGCGGTTAACTCGTTTATAGAAGCTACGTCAACAACAGCACCCAATCGGAGCTGACATGGTGGTATCCGACCAAGGGGCCGTCCTTTTGCTATTGGGTTTTTTTTTTTTTTTTTTTTTTTCGGGGTAGTTCTAGAATTCGAGGCGATTGCTGAAAGGAATAAGTGACAGGATGATAGAAAGAAGACAGTTTTCTTTCGGGAGATAGATGATGTGGAAGCCCGGGGAGGAAGGGGGGGGGGTTATATCAGTACACTTGACCAGGCACCTATAAGTTCTATGAGAGATATCAATGAGTGCCAAGGCGAGAACAGCAGATTTATGTATTTCCCTTTTTAAGCGGTCTGGCAGAAAGAGAAAGACATCAGACACATATAAAAACGTGTATAGCCCGTTTCACCGGACTGACGCCATTGTTTTATGAGCATTGGATTTGATGTGAGGTCCAAATATCACAGCTTTTTCTTTGCTGATTACAGTGAAAAAAAAAAAGGAATATCCGAATGTACGCACAAGAGTATAGGAGATTCTAAAGCAAACGGATACCACCTCACTAATGCGAATGCCTCAGGAATCCGTAGGAGACCTGCAAATTGTAGCCGTTGCAAGTATGTAAAATTGCGGGTTTTCATCGGCGAGTAGAGACATGAATAATTTAGTGAGTTAGAAAATGAAAAAGAATAAAAATGAATGAGAGGTTCTTAGTATCCTCTCCACCGTCTTTTTCTTTTCTTTTGAGGCTGGGTTCAGAGATGGGGGAAAAGGGCTCACCCTTTTCAAAAGCACGATAGTACATAAACATGTCCAGTCTCGGTTATTAACGCTGCTTAATTATATTAATTTATTCTGGTTTCCCTGTTGATGAATAGATCTCTTGTCTATAGTAAACTAGACTGGGAGAGGTATTTATATATATATATATATATGTGTGTGTGTGTGTGTCTGTGTGTACGTAGTATGAATCAAAATATCAGAATGGAATCAAATTTGATATCGATTAAAATTGATTAAAATGAAGAAACTGAAAGAAAAACAAAGGAGGAAATAGGTTCCTCAAAAACAAGCCAGGCACCAGTTAAGCAGTTCCAGTCCAAGGAGGAATAATCAAAGTCGACCAGCAACGATACGAACAAATGAATAATAACAAAAATGAAAAATAAAATAAATAAGGCAACTCGGTTTGAGATTTCCATTCGCGTGCTATTGCTAGAAGAGTACCAGTAGTAAAGTTAAGTTATGTGGCTTTGAGAGCAGGAACAGGAGGGGAAATTTGAAGAAAAGAAATACAACAATAACAGCAACAAGAATATCTGATAGGATTCGTGTATAAAGTAACCCCAAACCGAGGTCGGGGGAGGGAATTAAAGTAAGCGGATAGCCAGAGATTTCATAATCGAGGAAGTAAAGAGGCAAGGGCAGAGTGCAAATATGAGTTAAATTGGATGGGAGGATGGGAGGATGGCGGAAAGGTGGAGTAGATGTGAGATTTTTAAATACAACCGAATGGGGACGATGGGGAGGGTTTAAGGGTGGGTAAGTGATGGAAGTTATAGGGAGAATTTCCACAGGAAGAAGCCAAGGAAAAGAAAGAACGGGCCGCGAGATTTTTTGTCGGCTTCTTTCTTTTCTTTGCTTTTTCAATTGTCGTCACCCTCGTCAGGTTGCTCAAACAAGAAATTCGCCGCTAGCTCCTCGTTTTTATCGCAGGCGAAGTAAGCTTGGATGACAGAGTCTCGAGGGAATCCTAGACGACAGAGCTGCACAGAAAAAGAATCCACATGTAAGTTTAAAAGAGTCTATCCAGCGAACCTATGAATTTATGTTGAACGTAACGAAAGAGAAGGGCAACTCTATACATACCCTTTCAATTGCATCTCTTTCTTCCTCTGTTACGGTAATCTGATGTGTGCCTGGAGGTAACTGTGCATCGTCATCGATATCCTCGCTGAGCAGCTGGAGAAACTGATCCTGATTCTGTCCAATGAGTTGTGCGAGTTGCGGATTACCGGCGCCAACTTGTTGCAGGATTGGCTCGAGCATCTGAGGCTGTTGCTGCACGAGTTGTCGTAACTGTTGGAAGTGAGGGTTGCTCCGCAGGAAATCTAGATTGCCAAGGTTTCCCCCTTCGGCGGGAGGTGCTAACCCCTGTCCTGCAGCGCGAGCGCCGCGCCCGGCTCCACCCAGTTGCGGAGCGCCAGCTTGCGCTGCTGCCTCGAAAAGGTTGATGTGCTCATCGTCTCCAACTGCCGCGGTTGTTGGTGGCGCTGCTGTGCTGCCGCTAGGAGTTGTTGTCGCCGGAGGGGCAGGGGCAGCTTCTCGGTGCTCGGCTTGAGTGGTCTCGGGAATACCCTTGATAATGTTAGTGGATCTCTCCGGAGAAAAGAAATTACCCGAAGGCTTACATTTAAAAGATACTCGATTGCTCGATCTGGATTAAAATACGCGGCTCTCATGGCACGGTCTATATCACTTCTTGGGAACCCCATAGACTCCATCTGTGCGACTACCTGTTCGCCCTGAGGGCCCATAAGGAGAGCTGATGGGTCATTGAACGTAGTGGAACCACCCGCAACTGGGGCAGCGACCGGAGCTGCAGGTGATGGGGTGGCGGTGATATCTGAAGTGAGGGGATTGGAACGGTGTGCGGGGGCGGCAGGGGTTGAAGCGGCGGCGGGAGCGGGAGTTGACGGAGCCTGAGAAGATACACCTGCTGATGTCGAGGGGGCCGGTTTTGGCTGTGCCCAAAGGAGAAATTATAAGGTCAGTAAACCGAACATCGGGGAGCTTTTTGATAATTGGTGAGGGGTAAATACCTTTGAGACCATGCAGACTATGAAACCTTTCTCCTCGATGTTATATGATTCAATAGTATTTGCATCTTGTAGAATTTTGCCTGAGATGAGACATCAATATTATTAGCTGTGTGTTTTCAACGCAAGAGCAAGATGTCCCCTCCACCGCTTCTTTCTGCCCCACTTCCTCAACAGCTTTCTTGATAACAGCTTAAGAACACCGCGGGGGCTTTGTCTGCCGCCCAAGAGGAGGAAGGTAAAAAGCCAGGAAATTAACAGCAATAGGAAAAAGAAAAAGAAAGTATAAGATGACAAACCTGAATAGATAAGTTTTTGTTGAGCAACATCCCAGCCCTTTTCCTGAGAGATCTTCTCTTTGACTTGGCCAACCTATCGGATAAATGGAGTATTAGCAGGGCTGCGTGGGTTAAAAGATTATAATCGCGAACTGTCATGGACGGGGAAATCTATCGTCCTGCGCATATATGTTCTTCTATGTACGAAAAGAGGGGTAAGCGTACCGTTTCGGAAGGTTCGGCCTCAATCACAAACTTCTGCTGCTTCAAATCCTACAAAAAAAGGGACATCAGCCATGTAAAACCTCAGAGGATAAGACTTTGTAGTAACGACGCCTCTCGAGAACGAACGAGAGGAAGAAAGGGGGTATGAGCTTACTCTAAATGTCAGTTTCATCTTGCGCCACCGAAGAGTGTTCGAACGGGGGAAAGTTGACAGGAGGGGAAATGAGTTGGATAAAGTCGGAAGACGGGAGGATGGATAGTAGGATATAGAGGACGGTTATTGTCGACAAGCTATGAGACCGAGAATGTAGAGAAACACAAAGCAGGTGGCAGAATGGGACGGAGTGGGGAGGTTGGAAGTAGCCAGGATGTCACGATGATTTGGAGGCAGATAAAGTTGGATGGAGGTGGGTTGATGCTTGGGGCTGGAGAAGGCGGCGGTTGGTTGCTTGCGGGAGGCTGATGTAAGCATGTCACGGGGTCTTCCGCTTGGTGAGGCAGAAGTAGGTACGTCAAGCTCTTTTGAACCTCGATTGGTGATTTGCACAGCTGCATGTTTACCACAGATGCCTGGAAGTCGTAGAGCAGATATGATTATTCCAAGAGCTACTGCTCCAAAGCGTCGTAGCTGACAGATATGTCATTTCTACGCTGCTGTAAGCCACATATCAAGAAGCGCGGAGTGAGGGCCAAACGGAAAGGATGCATCGGATGAATGCTCACATGTGCTATATGCAAACAAGTTGAAGAGTACTAAATTGTTAGTGCTCTTCAATTGTCAATTGCCAGTGTTTTTATACTAGTACATATCGAGATATTCAGTATCTAAAGTATTTACACTTGTACGCAGTAGAACCTGATTAGAAGCTTTGGAGATCTGGCCAACGGATGTATTGTATCATAACTACATCTTTGCACCACGGCCATCGAATATCCTCGTCACATGTATAGTATAGAGAATACACTGATTCAAGGAATCAAGAGTCATATTTTTGAATTCAAAAAAGCTAGGAGCAAATATCCCCCATGCGAACCGAATATGACAAAATATATCAACTCTTCCCTATTCGCTTGCGCTCTCACCTACCCCTACTCCCTCATCCTCATCCTCACTTACATCTCCGTCCTCCTCCATCGCCTTCTCCTTTCTCCTCCGAATCCGCTCTCTCTTCCTCTCAAGCAACCTCCTCAACTTCTTAGCCGTATTGAACACCCCGCCAGTCCCAGCACCGCAAGCCGCGCACGAGGGATTCTTCCTATACCGTTGTAACGCACAACTCTCGCAGAAGTAATGCCCGCACTTCGTAACAATCGGCTCCTGATATGGCTTCTTGCAAATCACGCATGCGAACGGAATGTTCTCCAGTAGTTCATCCTCATCATCCTCATCTTCGCCACCACTAGCATTCGCATCCCCATCTCCATTTCCGGTTTTCGACGCCCGACTCGCAACCGTCCGCCCCACAACCTTCTTTCCTTTCGTCCCAATCTCCCAATCTCGATCCAGCTCCCAGCCCGCCTTGTAGTCCTCCCGGGCATGCAGGAATTTACACCCATCCCCGAACCCACAGTATCCCGTCAGCTTGTAATCCTTGCAGACGTCGGGGGAATAATCGGTGATAGTGATAGTTCTAATATTTGTAGCGGCCTTAATGGGGCCGAACTGCTTGGAAGGGGCGTTGGGGTTCTTTTGGATAAAGGATTGGTAGTTTGCTGTGCCGCGATATGTGCCGTCCACATCTCCGCTCGATGTTGCTGTGGAGCTGGCAGCGGTAGGTTTGCTTCTGGTATTGCCCAGTAGATTCTTAGCGCTAAGCAGCTGCTCGTCCTTTTCGCCTCCTCCTATTTCTTCGTCGAACCAGTTTGAATGTTTTGTTGCGTTATTCGTTTGCTGGTGGGCAAAGTGTGCAGCGGAGAAGGATGATGCAGAGCCGCCATTTTCATCACCATCATTCACAGCGGCAACAGTAGTATGGCGTTGCACGCTTGTATCCGCAGATGATGCGGTTACTGTGGCATTTTTGCGTCTGCGTTTGACTGTACGTCCGCCTTCTTCGTCGGAGGCGGAATAGTCAGATCCTGATGTGGTTTCTGAGGCGGGAGCGGGCGATGGAGCTTTCTTGCGCAAGCTGGATTTTGCTTTGGCAGATCTTTTCTTAAATGAAATTTGGGGAACGGTCTGTTCTATTTGTACCTCATCCATGTTGAGCTGGATATTATTGCTTCCACGAGTGCAAGTCGAAATGTTGCCATCGACTTTGCACCTCGCCTTAATCCACCGGGCTAGCTCTATCCACGTGATCCCAACGCCACGCCTACACAACCACAAGGTGATGAACAACAATATCTTCCACAACGAAAGTTGATTGTGATTTCAACGAAAGAAAAGAAAAGAAAAGAAGAGGGAGAAAAAGACGGGGAGAAAACCCGGAATCACCTTCAAATTTTCCCGAGCCACTGATGTAGCTTAGAAGTATCAGTATAGAAGTACAGTGCCTCGCAATAAGTTTGAAACTATTGTGACTTCTCATCAAAACCCACTAGTCCAAAAGTAGTTTAGCAGTTGTACTCTTTATTGCAGAACTAGTTTTGATTGATTAAATTACATCTGGAAATCAAATATTTCCACTCAATAAAGAAAACATGTGAGGAAGAAGATAGAAAAAATGAAAAAAAAAAAATAGAGAATGGTGTAGATGAGTGGAAAAATAGGGGTAAATGGATGCATTTGTGACACTATAACTACAACTAATTACTACAAGTTAAACTACTTTTGGACTAGTGGATTTTGATGAGAAGTCACAATAGTTTCAAACTTATTGCGAGGCACTGTACTAGTTATACTTGAAGATAGCAATATACCACTTTAAATAAAAGATTATTACAATGCTTCAGTTTCTGATCTATAACTTGAAGGATGAAGTTGGTGGTAAACGGTTCTATTATATTCATACTTAAATTCCTTTTTATTTAGTATATTCTCTGTATTCAAGTATTTATATTTCTAATGTAATATCTATACCCAATGTTGTGTCGGGAATATTGATTTTTCCTTATAGGTACATGTTATATGGTGCAATCGTACTGCACAATTGAAATATACAAGTGGTGTTTCCCTAACTTAACTTCTAGCCTATACTTTCACAGATGGCAAGTTGTGACAAGGACAGATGTCTTTGTATTTTCAGTGTCATAGTTTAGTTTTGCTCTTCTGATCCGACTTCTTTCTCAAGTGACCTGTGTAGGCTTGTGGGAAGTCCTGGATATATTTAGATAGCCTTTAGTGGGATCTGAACATAGTTAGTAGAAAAGAAAGTGAAAGTTTGCCTTGAGGGGAATCACAACACAGCCAATGGATTTTCAGTAAGTTGCAGTGCAGTCCAATCCACACCACCCCGTGGTTTGTTCATCTTACTGGGTTTTCCACTTCATAGAGCCTTTTAAATCTGATTCCCCTTCTTCAGGTGGTTTGACCGTAGCTCATTGCAAAGAATAATTTTTCTTACCACAGCCCACGGCCTTCTCTAATTCTCCCAAAACACCTTTCATCCCACCAACATCTACATTCCCACTCAGCAGATATGGTCGACAACTCTGGACGTAGAGCAGCTGCCATATCACCACAAAAGCGGTAATAGATTTGAGATTCAATGGAGAAAGAGTGGGGGATTGTGTGCATTACGAGCCTTTTCTGGTTGTCTCCTCTCGAAGGTCCTAATGGTCCTAATGGATGCTCGATATAGTATCCAGACCTCACGCTTGGGCGAGCAGGACCCCGCCGCACCAGAAAAGTCAAGATTGACTGGATCAGGTACCGACCTTCAACTCCAGCCCTTCCACGCCTTCACCACCAGGATGGATATTGTAAACAACATTGCTAGCAAAATTTGTCCCAGATTTATTCGGTGGGCAAGGCAAGGAAGGGGTTGAAGACCTCGGGAAGATCTAGGAATATCACGTGAAGAGAGTCACTTCTTGGCAACCTTGGAATCGGAACGGGTATTGAGCTTATGACTAATCAGATCGGGAGTGCACCAAGGTTCCTGTTTAGGTTGAAACGCGCCGTTCATTGTTTGTTTACATCAAGGCAAGTATGGTACAGGAACGGTAATCGGCGTGTATTGCTGGGTACTGGCAATCAGGATAGAATTCTTGACCTTCTGGGAATGAACACTGCGTCACGAGGATTCCATGAGGTCTTTGAAGAGAGGAGGAACAGGAAATAAATAACAATAATAAGAATAATAGTCGCTGGTAGCACTGTTGATCGATAGTGTGTCAAACTCTAACTCCGTGCTGGTTGATCTGAGAAAATATGTGCCCATTCCTGTTGGACACCCAGCGCCGCAATTTCAGGCCTGCATAAGTATACGCTCACTCAGTCGTCAATCAATGTGAACCATACTGCGTCCACTTACAACTCACAGCAACACCAAGAAAGAAGAGAAAAAGAAAAAAGCGTTGATAGTGCTGCTTCTGCTGTCCATGATGATGTATTTTTGAAGACTGATCGGGTGGTTAAATGTGGGGAGCCTTAATGCCCCTAATAAGAAACGAACGAAATTGAGCGTAAGAACGAAAAGAAGAGAACGTTGACCAGGGAAATAATGTTGATTACTCTGTCTTATTCTTTTCTCCGCGTTTTCTTCCTCTTTCCTTTTCCTTTCTCTTCCCCATCCCCGCCTGACGAACACGGCCAGTTGGTCGTGGAAACAAGAATCGCATATCACAAACAGCTTTTCTAATGAAATTATAAAGAAGCTGTGTGCGTGGGTGATCAGTCGTTCCTTTAGTTTTTTTTTTTTTTCTTTTATTTTAATTAATTTTTATCATCTATCGTTTTTCGTTTTTGATATACACTTTTCCCTCTTCGTTTCGTACCCATATTTGTTTCTTCATTCGTTGTTTTATCACTTTGATCCCCTAATACTCCCCATCTACCATTACTATCTACCCCCGTTTTGCTTCGTCCAACGTGACATTTATTACTGATATTCTTCGCTTTTCCTTTCCCGATTGTCACATTTATTTATTTCCGCCTCCCATTTTCTGCGTGTCTGAGTTGTCAGCAAGTTGCCCGTTGTCGTACCCAAGCCAAAACAACAAAAACGCGTTAGTTACCTGTACCAGCAATACCAAGCCCACCGCCCCGTCAACAAATCACCACATCTAGGCCAACTCAAGGGCGCCACCATTCAGCCCTCTTCTGAATCCTGTCGACGCAGAAGCTGCCCTGCGCATCCCACTGCTCTCCACCCTCGTCAGACATCCCAGTCTCATCGCTAAGAATCAGGTCCTACCTGGGTTCTCAGTACGGTGGGAGACAGTAGGGTTGGAGGGAACCGGCCATTTCGCTTGCTGTTTTTCTCCACAACCACCCTCTATACCCTTCAATTGTACTGCCTTGTTATCAACCATCGCGGGAGGAGGGCTTGCATCGTCTCCCACGTAAGCTGTGATAGCGAGATGTGGTTTCACGTTTAAAAAGTCAAAAACAAAAACTGAAAATAAAGAAACCACTGGGAGACCGACAAGCATCGGTTTTATCTATTCCTCCTACAAGTTTTTGACAATTCGGTTTTGGCGCGGCACCTCTTTTCTTGCATCTCTCCCATTTGATGACAGGCCCGCTGGGCACATTTGCCAACCAACGGCAACAAACACCGTCATCGTCACCCGTCTGGATGCAGCAGATCCCGTGTACAATGGATGACCCGTTCGTCTCCGACTCCGGACCAACCGGAGTACTCCCCCAGCAACAACCATACCAACAACGCGAGTCGCATCGATATTCCCCCTTTGGTTCACAGCTCTTCACTCTCGATGCATCCTCACCGTCACAAGTTAAGCGTGCTCTCGAAGCCCATCTAGCGGAAACCGAACGAAGGTTGGAGGATGCATCGAAGCTGGGCACTGCACTCGTGCAGCAGCAAAAGGAACTTTCAGACAAATTAAAGGAGGTTGAACACCGGCAGGACGAGGGCGAAATCGGGCCGGAACTACGGAGGAAGTTGGCGGAGTTGGAGAAGGAATATAATGATATCGGGCGGGAGACTGCTCGTGTATCACTGGGGCCCAAACCCCGACTTGTTCCTGATGAGGATGGGCAGGGCACGCCTCAATTTGATGGTCGGGTAAGTACCTCATCTTGTCTAGAACTAATGGATATTTATTTCACATGAATATTTCATTTTTTTGGTGACTTTTGATTTTAATTTTTGCATCTATTTGCCGACTTTTTTGTTACACATATATAGCACCCTACCAGCCCCGCCGTACTCTCCAGTCAGGCCACCAACTCGCCTACAAAGATAAGTGTGCCATCTAGAAGACAACGGAACCAGCAGTCCAGTCGAGTCCATGACATTGAATTTGCAACGGAGATAAGCACGTCATTGCTTGCTCAAGTCCGCCAATTACAAGGGCTCCTTGTAGAGCGGGATGAAACTATAAAGAGCATCAATTTGGAGAAGTCTCGGCTAGAACTTGAAGCAGAAGCCTTTACACAGCGTCTACGCGCTCTCGATGATAATGAACAGCGTTACAAGGACGAGAATTGGAGGCTCGAGACTCAGACACAGGAACTTCTTGCCGCCGCCAAGGAAGCTGCTGCTAGGGAAGAGAAGTTGAAAGCAAGTCTGAATGCTGCCAATGTAGAGAAAACTAAAACCCAGCGAAAGCTCGATGAGTTGAAACAAGCCAACGAGAAGCTTATTGAAGAAAATACGGCTACGCAGAAGACCTATGATTCTGAGCTTCACATTCTTCGAAGAAATGTACATGTCGGAGATGCGGAACGGAACACTCTCCAGCAAAAGGTCGAAGAACTCACCAACCAAAATCAAGAGCTGGCCAAGGCTGTCGCTGCCAAACTTCGACAGCATGAGGCGGAGGCCACCAGGGACGTCGCTCCAGCGAACGAGGATGATGTAATGGATGAGGCAACCCCGGAAAATTCACCCCCCCCGTCTCCAAATAAGGCAACCCCTCGACATGGGCATTTGGAATCTGAGACGCTGAAAAGCTCTCTACACCACGCTCACCGCATGATCCAGAACCTGAAGAGCAACATCCATCGTGAAAAGACTGAAAAGATTGAACTCAAGCGCATGCTCCAGGAGGCCCGAGATGAGATTGAACAACGACGTGCAGAGACCACTGCCCCGTCTAGCGCCAACAAGCGTCAGAAGGCTAAGCAAGATATTTTCAAGAAGCCTCCCCGACCGGAAATGCTTGGTGCTAGGCGTGGCTTTGCCGAGATTGAAATTGAGGAGCCAGATTGGGAAGACCATACTATTGAAGCAAGCCCCACAAGGAAACCGTCTGGGAGATTCAACACGTTCCCTTCATCTCGCCACTCTCGCACTGAATCTGTTGATCCAGTCGATCCAGTCGATGCAAGTGACGCTTATCAAACTGCCAACGAAACGGAAGACGCCTTTGAAACTGCGAATGAGCGGGATAACGCCACTGAGAGCGACGCCTTCCAGACTGTTGCTGAAAGCTTGGCAGGAGATACGAGTGAAGGGGAACTGACCGAAACTGAAAGTCGTTCAGGGTCTACGCCAGTCATCAGAAGCAAAAAGCCGCTGAAGCTATCTTCCGCAAAACCCGGCGATCGGACGTCTTACATGAGCACGGCATCGACATCGGACGATGATTTTGACGACAATGATTCACGCACTCCCATTCAGATGCAGCCTCAACGTTACAGACTGAAGATGCATCGTGGTAGACGTGGACGTGCGTCTGGCGATATTGGCATGGCACCCGAGAGTGGCAATCTGAGCGCGCGAAACTCGCCAGCTACCAGTTTCTCTCAAGGCCACCCTCCAATCATCCCATCTGGACAGAGCTTGTTTGCGGAATTGGAAGAGCTCAATGGACCAGACAGCTGTAGCGATTTTGGCACGCCTCATCGTTCCACTACAGCATCTCAAACCTCGACGCCAAATGTTTCTCGGTTCATCGACCAACGTCGGCCGTCTGAGGTACCTAGCACGTACTCTGTGACTAGAATAATGGTAGATTCTGGAATGATGACAGAACCGTGGGAAGCTTCTCAACCGACACATGATGTTGTAGTTCCGTTGACTCCTGTAGAATCAGAGACAAATCTCTCCGCTTCAATTATCGCCGTCAAGCCCAAGGATTCAGCGGAATTCGTCGACTCTGCGACGCAGTACACTCCACAAAAGGAATCTGCGTCTGGAACCGGCGATCTCCCAATTGCCTTTGATACTCCACCTAAGACAATATGGGATGGACCTATCGTCGAAAAACACCATCAGAAGCAACCCGCTGTGGAAGAGCCTTCCTTTTTGGCTAGATCCCCTCCTTTGGAATTGTGTATTTCGCCGATTGTATCTGAAGAAACAGCACCCGTCGCGCCTATTGTTGACAACGTGACACAGGCGCTGCAATTTATACCTCAGCTAAATGTCTCCTCAATTGTCTATGAGGAAACCCACCCTGTGGCTGTCCCCGCGAAGGCCGTCATGCCACCAAGACCCTTGGACCTTGTGTTTTCACCAATCCAAACTGAGACAACGGAACCACTGCAGCCAGCTGTCTCAGAAATTATTGAGAAGCCAAGGCAACAGCTTCAGATTTCGTCGATTTTCACGGAGGAAACGAAACCGGCGGAACCTCAACTATTGGGTGGAGTGGTCACACAGCCCAGCCTTTTCCAAAAGAAAGATGTTGGTGATGCTGAAACCTTGCCCGAAAGACCCAATACTGCAGTACATGTCAACGGAGTTACGGATCACAACATTGTCGATTTCAAATCCGTAGATGTCGGTACTGATCCCATTTCTCCTATTTATCCACCGACCGACGAATCCGTTGAGCAGATCGATAGCAAAGTGAAGAAAGATGCTCCCGTGCAATTTGCCAACAATATTGTCAGCCAAATTGTTCACAGCTCCGTTACACCGCGCTCCGGATCACCAGTTCCAGACACTGCAGTTGCGACTACTGAACATGCAGCTCAGACAATACTTACGGCAATCCAAATTGATCAGCTTCTTATGGAGCGCTCTTCTCATCAGCATGTTGCTTCTATGGGAACTGATCCAGAGAGTAAACAACTGCAAGATCCTTCCATTGCTGATACCGCTCCCGGTTCTCCTTCCACACCCAAGGCGAGGCCTCTACATACATCACAGCCTCCCCAAACTGTCCTCAAGCGCCCTGGAAGTGCTAGTAGTCAGCGACACGGCTCAATGATGGTCCATCCCCCGTTACCGTATGATCATAAACAAGCTATTGCTGCTGCAACCCAACGACTATCCTCAGAAACTCCCGCCTCTGGGACGATGGGACCGCCACTAGCCCCTGCTTCTGCCTATCGCACCAACATCCAAATCCGACCCCGCACTCCAAATGAGCAAGCATCAAGTATCAAAAATGGTGTCACGTCCCGTGTCCATACTCGACGCAGTAGTCAAATATCTCGCCGCTCGTCGATATCCTCTTTCGCGTCAGAGCTCGACGTACGGTTCAACATGGGCAAATCAGGATATCCTTTCGAGTCCGGGACAGATCCCCGCATGATACAAGCTATAACCCAGACCATGATCGGAGAGTTCCTTTGGAAGTACACTCGTAGAACTGGTCGCCCCGATGTATCCAGTAATAATCGTCACCAACGTTATTTCTGGGTCCACCCGTACACGCGAACTTTGTACTGGAGCGACCAGGACCCACAAACGGCGGGTAAATCGCAACATAAAGCGAAAAGTGTCGCTATCGAAGCTGTCCGCGTCGTTAATGACGATAACCCATACCCTCCTGGCTTGCATTGCAAAAGTCTGGAGATTGTGACTCCCGGCCGTACTCTGAAGTTCACTGCGTCGACAAGCCAAAGACACGAAACGTGGTACAATGCACTGTCATATCTTCTTCTGAGAACTGCCGGAGAAGAAGAAGCGGCGGAACGAGGCGACAACCTGAACTCTGACGACATCGATGAATTCAATCCAGCATACCGATCAACATCTCGCACGGGTGGATCGCGTATGTCCATTGCCTCCCGAACCAGTCGGAATGCACGAACCTACTCGAAACATTATCCGGAACCCACGCTAACCATTCGACGTCCAACAACACCTGGCCGCGTATCACCTGCTTTATCCAGTGGTGCCAACTCCACCGCACGGGTCGACCAAGCGCGTCACGGCTCCGTATCCCGCCTCAGCACGATGTTTAGGAATTCAGGCGTGCCAGGGACGTTCTCGAGCCGGCGGAGTAGGTATGGTCATACCGCGGGCAGTGTTGATAGCACTGGCGCTGCAGAGCGGGATAGTGCGGAAGATTTAAGACGTGTTATTGAACAACAGGAGATAGAAGCGGATAGGCTAGAAAATGTGCGGGCGTGTTGCGATGGTAAACTTTAACCTCCTCTTCTTCCTTCTACTGCTTTATTTATTTACCGTTGGGAATTCTCAAATGTCGAACATTCTGCTAATATTTCACAAATTTCTCCAATTTAGGCAAGCATGATGTCAGTTCCCTATCTAGGACAAGCAGATATAGCTCGCTCAAAGGCCACAAACACGGATAGCTCGATCACATTTAAAGGCTGTCTTTCTATCCGACTTCTCCAAGCCTAAACCGGTTGGTTTACAGCTTAGAAAGAGACGGATACTCAAGAAGCCTATTCTATCCTGCATGTCTGACGAATTTCCTTATCGGTTTGATACTCATCACTTTTCCCATTTTGGCCGGTGCATCAATTTCATTCCTCTCGCCTCTCGTTCTTCCCTTTTCCCCTGGGCGTTATCCGATTACAATATGTCTGGAGGATACTCCCTTCAAATCCGAACAAAAGACGTATTGTAAGGGGACAATCCAGGCCAGGGCTGCCCCAAGGGATTTCGGTACTTAAATTGAATTTATCTACCCGCTTTCACCCAAACTCTCAACTCTTGTTCAATGTGCTCTCTATATTTCCCTTTCAATTTCTTTCTTTCCTCCCCTTTTTGCAGCTCACGTCCTACCCCACCATTTTCATTTCTCCTATGCCCCTGATACTGTTGCACAGGCTCCGTTTGGAATATTTTTATATAATATCGTCGTTTTTTTCCAACTATCTCTGTCCTTGACTCAAAGCTCCCTAGGTATAATCATCCTCGATATTTTTGACTTTTCCTTTGTCTATATATTCTTGTGTTTTAGTCCCCAAAAATGCACTTTCGCCGCCTCCGCTGTTGTCCCTCGTATCACAACAGCTAGTATTGAAATGAGAACAACATCTTCCCCGTCTCTCTTGCCTCTTTCCAAATTTTCTTTTATAATCCGCTGTTACTTTCATCCTTTTCTTTTTTGAAATTTGGTACAAGGGATATCGTTCTCTTTTCTCTTTTTTCCATGTTGACTACTAGATCGCTATTGGCAATATCTTTTGCTGGTATTTTGTTGTATGCTTCCGCTTTTCCCTCATTCTGCTTTGCTATTTTGTTTTAAATGAAAGTTAAATCATAAATATATATTATATATATATATATTTATATTCATCATTTCTTGAGGAGTGCTATAAGATCTTTTTTTCCCTAAAGTTAGAGAGTTCATGGAAGGTTTCTGGAAAATTCACACGTGACCTAATAAAGAACCTTGACAAAACGTGGGAATCAAACGAACTGTCCGCGCCGTCTATTATGAAGTCCCTCCACGCCCCACAAACTCCACTATTATTCCAATTCCCACGGCAAGTAGCAGTGGTTGTTGAGAGTGATTCGTTTGATGATCAAAGGGCCGGTTTCCACTTGGCGTGTTTGATTGCGTGTCCGATGGGTCCATTCACGGGTGCCGGTTCCCCTGGGCGAATAATCCTTGGATCACCATGGAGATAAGACCCGTTGGACTAGGATATGTATGCATGCTCCATTTTTTCTTTTTCTGGTTTCTGACAACACGGTTGATATTTGAGTTGATGAAGAACGCTTTTGTTCTCAGATGCTAGCTATGCCCAGGAGTGGGAAAGGGATATTGGATATAGAGCCTGTGATAGTGGTCCATGTAACAGTTGCGATATGCTGCTTACTTCAATCAACTCCGTACATGTTGTCTGTGTGGAGACATGGAGATCGTTATATGCTCTTAGAATCTTGTGAAAACACCTCGTATCCATGGTTATCATTTCATTGTGGGATACCCTCTCCGCACACTTTCACGCATTGTATCCGATCGATAAAGACCAGTGTCCGCCATATTCATTGGCCTTCATGTTCCCGTACCTCGATCTATTTACCGTTGGCGGAGGCTCTACCTTCAACTTCCCTCCCGTTCCACTCTGATAAACTCTCCACGCTCGTTTACCAACTGCTTTAAAAGTGTGAATGCATCTCAAGCATGCATGCCTCCCATGAGCCATGAGAGCTGTCAACAAGATCTTCCTGCAGAGATCTTTTCGTCGTGCCGTACTGCTCCTGCTCCTATTGAGCGCCCTGGTGTTTGCAGGGGTCGTCCTACGGCAGAAACTTCACCAGCCAGAAGTACAGACCCTCCCTTCATCAACCCAGTGTTTTGGCGATTTTTGACGTCCAATGTTTGTTTGTTCCGCTTACATTTATCCGGAAGAATAACTAATGCGATCTGTGATTTGCCCGACGTTCCTTTGAGAATAATAGAGACAGTTTTCAATCCAGCAACAACAATATTTTACGGAATCTCGCCAGTATCCCAGGTCCGTTCTATAGCTATCCATATCTATCATCAATACGCCCTTTGGTTAAATTATCCCAAAACAGTTGGTGTACTGACTCTGAATCGTTTTGCTACTCCATAGCGTATTCAGGAAATTCGTCTCGACTCTATCCCATCTCACCACTCCCGAACACTACAGCAACTCAGAAGTCGTAGATGACCCTCGCTTCGAGGCCAAGAGCGCACCTGACATCCCCAAGATATACCGTCCTTACCCAAATTATGAGAGTCTTCGCTGGAAAAGTTCCCATCGTGGAAGATTCAACCCGTGTGAGGGGCCGAGGGGAAAACCCATATCAAAAAATCTGGATGACCAGGTTGGCGTTTATTTAGGCGATCTCGGTATATACTATTTACATTTACTCTGTCCCGTTTATTCTTCCAGGCTAACGTGATTTTATTCAAATAGGGTTCCCTAAACCCATGTTTGGCTCTCACGAAGCTGTAGGATTTAATGGAGATGTCTTCTTCGACCGCTATACGAGATACGGCGCGTATGGCTATGGAGAGAATGACTCATTTGTTAAAAATTGGAAGAAACCGGCCAAGGTCCAATGGGACAAGGTCAACTGGGGTAAATTGCAAGAGCAATGCTTCCTGAAAAACGCAGATAGATTCTCGGCGGATCTGTCCCTGCTTGCGGATTTGCCGCAAGATTCCCCGAGGCGCCAGATCGAGCCCGAGGCCCGTACAGCTGTCCTTATTCGCACATATGTTGGGAAAACGTATTCCGATAATGACATGCAAACGATCCGTTCGCTGGTTTCGGAGCTATCGCTGCAGTCTGGGGGCGAGTATTCGGTCATCCTACTCCTGCACGTGAAGGACGAGGAGATTGAGATCGAGAAGGATGAGGTATACCAGCAAGTTGTGGAAGAGAATGTGCCTAAGGAATTCTGGGATATGACTGTTCTATGGAATATTCCTGTTGTGTCAAAGCGCTACCCACGCCTTGTGAAGATGAAACTTACCGAGTGAGCTTTTATGTCAACTCATTTTGTATTTGTGCATCCAAAAGAAAAACCCTCGTGAATCACTAACTAGCCTTGTACTTACACAGCGTCCATCGCTCCCAGTGGCTCTCCGTCCAACATTTTGCCCTTACTCACCCACAATACAAATTCATCTGGAACTGGGAACTCGACTCCCGCTTCACAGGCCACCACTATGAATTCACCAACAAACTTGACATCTTCGCCCGCTCCCAACCGCGCCGGGGCCTCTGGGAACGGAACGCCCGTTTCTACATCCCCGCCCTGCACGGTAGCTACAACCACGCCTTCCGCACCTTTGTACAACGCTTTGAAAACGAAGCTGTCTGGGGCGCTGTGCCCATCGACCATCCGCACCCGCGGCCCATTGGGCCCTCACCGCCTGTAGGCTCGCCAGACAAAGACACGGATTACAAATGGGGCGTCGGCGAAGATGCAGATTACATTGGCTTCCTCCCCATCTTCCACCCTATCGGCACGGAGTGGGTCATCCGCAACGAAATCTACGGCTACCTCGGCCAAGCAACGCCACGTCGCGCGTCTCTGATCACGCACTCGCGCTTATCCAGACGGTTGCTTCTCGCGATGGATCGGGAGAACATGTTCGGCAGACACATGTCCTCGGAGCTGTTACCCGTCTCTACTGCGTTGCTGCATGGTTTCAAGGCCGTCGCGGCGCCGCATCCCATCTACTCTGATAAAGATCTTCCTGCGAAAAGTACAGATCGCTGGTTTAATCCGGGAATTAATGGGCGCTCGGGCAGCTCTCAGGATAGTCCATTTGGGTGGAAGAGGGAGTCGAGGTTTTTGGATTTGTCGTGGTATTATCGGGCGAATTTGGCGGGGAGGTTGTATTGGAATTTTTTGGGGTGGCAGAAGGATTGGACGGGCGGTCGAGTTGTGAGTCTTTTTAATTTCTTTCCCTCTCTCCCCCCCTCCACTTTTTTTTCTCTCTCTCTTCAATTAGTCTCCCCCTCTCTCCTTTTGTACTGTACTAACGAATTTGACTTAACTTGCCTTTTACAGTACGAATTCATACACGGACGTGTCATCCTGCCGTCAATACTTTTCCATCCCATCAAAGATGTTCGCCCGGATGCTAACAGTATGGGATATGACTTTAATTTCCAGCTTTGAGACAAAAGCTTGGAGATGGTGTTTGATCCTTTTGAGGGGAAACAAAGAAGGTATTCTGTATAAATATAACTCACCTCCTCCTTTCTTTCTATGGCATGAGAGCATACATTGTTGTGATGGGTTCGGGCCAGGGGGTTTTCCCCAGTTTGCGCGACATTGTCCTCTATTTTTTATTTTTTTATTTGGATGTATATTTTATCCTTCCCCCTGATTCCCTATTCCATTTCAACCACGCTGGTGTCCTCCCCACAATCCAGTTTCTCTCTAATGCCTACAGTCTATTTTGATTTGTGCTGGTTCAGTTCCTTATACATATTTTACTTCGCGAATATAAACTAAAGGAAGGGCGTGGCTTTGCTTACTTCAATTTTCTTCATCCTTCATTTTTTCATGTATTTTTCTTTTTTCTTTGAATATCTATCGCCAGTCGATACTCTCATGTTACATAGATTTACAAATATGGACAAGGGACGGAATCCGGTTTGGTGATCTATCTGGCATCAATCGCTTGATAAGAAAAATGGGCGAAACGGACATGATTTGTAATCGGTATAGTGAGTCGCTTAGAGGATGGTTTGCGATGATATCGCAATCGTGGTCCGAAAGCTCAGCCATATATGATGAATGGGAAGCAAACTGCAGAATTGTTAGCAAGTTATGATGTATGATATCTGCGAGAGAAGATAGCTCGCTGGGAACGAATGCTGGTATATATAATCAAAGGGAGGATTATGGCAAAAGGGTTGATCCGGCTTGGCTTTGATGCAGTACATGAATGAAAGAACAAATAGAGCCGCCGAGCAATGAACTGGGTGGAGATTAGTCCTATTCAATTGCGACAGAATGGTAATAAGCTCGAACAAAATAGGGGGAATTGAAATCGTATTTGAGAACATCGGCTATTTCCATTTAGGATTAATGTAGGCCAACCTTGGAAACCAACCCGTTGTGTTGCAGATGCGGTTAGAGTCACGGTCCGACATGAGCCAATGATAACGTAAAGCACAACAGTTGGTCAAGCAGCTGTAGGGCGAGAGGTAGCAAGCGAATCATGATTGGAAGATCCCCATCTCCCTTACTACCTCTGTCCTCTCCTTCGCTTCTATCTGAATTGGTTAGAGGATGGTTCTTGATAATGTTGCGATCTTCTTGTGAAAGTCCTGCCATTTTGATGGTATAAAAGACCCTTAAGTTAGTGCGAGGAATTGCAAAGAGAGGGAAAAGTTATAGGGTGGGGTGACTGAGCTGACCTACGCTAGTATAGGTCACCTGACCCTATAGAAATGGTGACTAGTCAAAGGGTCAGTTGAGCTCCTTACCAACTTGATCTCTTACAAGCTCTTATCAACTGCCCTGAGCCTACTGCTAGCACCTCCATCATCAATACTAGTCCACTACTAATCACTCAATTTTATATAAGACAGACTCACAGAGTGAAGTAAAGTCTCTAAGAATTATATAATAATAAATAAATTAAAAGAAGTATTGATTAGTCAGTGACTAGTCATTGATTAATTATAGAGTAGTAATTTAATATATTAAATAATTTAAATAACTATACTCTGTATATTAAATTTATATTGACTAGTATCTGACTAGTAATATATCAGTCATTCACTAGTGCAATATTAATAGTTAATAATTAGTTTATAACTAACTAGTAAATTACTAGTCAGTAACTGATTAAATAATAGTAAAGAACTAGTTTTATATACTATATTTTCATTCATAGTTTATATATACTTCTCAATTTAATAATATTCAAGATTTAATCAATTTCTATTATTCAAAAAAAGAATTATAATATTCATTTTCACTGTGTGTATTATAGATGTATGAGAAGATAAAAGTTCATTTTTGTTTTATCCTCAACTGACCCATTTTGTGCCAAGAAATTATTTGGGTCAGGTGACTAGCACTAGTGTAGGTCAGGTGAGTCACCCGAGGGGTCAGCCGACGTGTAGTCTCTAATTTTACCACCAAACATTTTCTTGGCTAAAACAAATGACTAAGCATGGAGCTTAACTAGTTAATTGATTTTTGATTTGATTGATTTATTCATTTCGGGCGTGCAGTTGAACATGGTTAATAAAAAGCTGAACATGGTTAATTTTTCGGGCCGGAATAACTTTCGGTGTCATGTCAACCCCTTCATTAAAACTACACACACTAGCCATTTCACATCTTCAAATGCATTGGACACAGTGATCTTATCATATTTCTCAGAGCTCTATTCCTTAGCTAACCTGGATTCTAACTCTAAATCACTAATTCTAACTTACAACTACTTCTCAGATGCTAAAGAGTCTCAGATGTTGAAGTAGAAGAACTAAATGAGAGCTGATTAGTAATATACAGTGAGGATGTGTAAAACATGTTTAGTGAGCGTAAATTTTAGTGAGAAGTGAAGAGCTGAGCATGGTTTATTTTTCAGACCCACCTTTTTTAAACCATGTTCAACTGTAACCCGCATGATATGCTCTCATATTATCAAGCACTCTCACACCATGAAAGTCCTGATCAAATTCTTCAGCACAGTTCAGAGCTGTCTTGATATGCATGATGATGACCACACCTCCCTTGGCCAGTGCAAATGCAGCTCAGACAAAGTTCTTGATCTTGATTGCCATGTTAGTCACCACATATGATATGGATATTGACTGCTTGCCTGTCGCCCATTTGAGCTTTTATTCAGCAGTTTCTCCAACTCCTTTCCGCAGTGAAACAGCAAAGAGAAAGAGGGGCACATTGACACTCTGTATCACGTGGATGGAATGGCCCTCAGTTGTTTGACGCCGTGTCATGCACCCATGGCAAACTGAGCCAGTATATACATACTGCCCATACCACATTCTCTCCATCCCCATCGGAGTTCTCGAGTTGCGGCGCACTTCCCCCGCTAATCAAAAAATGACGTCTACTACTACCAAAATCAGATCGCTATCCTCCAGGCTCTGTACCCTCTTATTACAGAGCGAGAGAGAGTAATGATGCACTCTGTTTGTACCCGAAACTCCGAGGAACAGGCAATGTTATGCTGTACACGCCTACACAATACAGGTTTTTTGAAACGGGGATAGCCTACAATCTAGATGTATTTTGGATGATTCAGCGCACTTCTTCCACAAATAATCATACAGATGCTTTGATGATACAATTTTGGCTGAAGTGCAGATAATCTTGGTTGGCCGTGAGGTTTCTCTATTGGACGAGTAATAGCTGCCTGCTAACACAACAGACTGTAGGTCGTTACCAAAACCCCTCTTTGAGGGTGCATAAACAAGGCTCACTGCCTCATTCGCTACCTCAGTTCTGGACTTTTCGCCTACATCATGTCCAAACACAGACTAGAGAACGAGAAATCAATAGGCCTTGGTGCATAAATCTGCAGGAATGTTTGACCAGCAAAGTCAAGCAACAACATGAACGACGAAGAGCAGGTAATTAATTCCGATCACGTTGGTCAAGCTCATAGTGGGAACACAACCTATCAGTGTCTGACACGTAGCGCGGCATTGGTTGGCAATCTTTTGGCCCTGGTTGCATAATCTGACAAAGTTCCAATAATATCACAGCCCAACCCATGAGTGAAAAGGATGTATCTTAACGACCGGGCTGTGAATGCGGGGATGTATCAATGTCTTTTCTCCTGCCTTGGTGTCATATAATAGAAGAAAAGTGGTCCGCCCCACTTCTTGATTTTTATCCCGACTTTTCCCTTGAGGGCCTTGCGAAGAATAACAATAAATTTCTCTCTAAAGCATGAATGAATCTACTTCCACTCAGATGCAGGCGAATGGCTCTATTTATTTGCCTTCGGGTCGATCTATCAGTCCACAGATACTCAAGAGCGACATCGACAGCGGCGCTGACAGAAGGCAAGAATATGGTAACAGAGCTATTGTGTTATATTTGTTAGAAAACAGTGTAGAGTTCCGAGAACTTAGTGATCTGCGAAAGAAAGTGAGTAACTGTCGACCTAACTATTATACTCTCTGCTGATGCTGTCCCAAATAGGGATGGGAAAATCCTGCAGGCGATAAATTTTTTAAAAATCAGCGCCGGAATGCAGACAATGCCACTCAAAGAACGGCTATATATTTTCATAGATTGATGAAGAAGATCGGAGAGGAGCTTCACCAGTCCACTGATGTCTTTGCAATCCAAAGGCTAAACCCTGAGCCACCTGCCATCCTTGACATGTGCATGGCCCCGGGTGGCTTTCTAGAAACGGCATTGAGAAAGAACCCAGGATCACATGCATTGGCGTTTAGCCTGCCTGTCGTAAATGGCGGGCACAAGAGCCTTTTACCGAGGGAATTGGACGTCGACCAAAGATTTTTAGATGTGACCATGCTCGCAGCAGATATGGGTGTGAATGAAATTGATAATAATCATCCCGATGCCGAACATTTCTTACCGCGACAGTTTACCTCATACCAGCATTTTGACCTGGTCATATGCGATGGTCAAGTTCTGAGAACTCATGACCGCGCCGCCTATCGAGAGCGACGGGAAGCGAAAAGATTGATAGTGACGCAGCTAGCCCTCGGCCTCCAGCAACTAAGGCCTGGTGGAACTATGGTCATTCTTCTTCATAAATTCGAGGCGTGGGATACAGTGAATCTCATCTGGACTTTCTGGAAGTTCTCTTCTGTGCGCCTGTTGAAACCAAAGGCGGGCCACACCAAACGATCTTCTTTCTATATGGTTGCTAAAGATATCCAGAGTCGGTGCCTGGAGGCCATTCAGGCAATCTCGAGGTGGAAAGAAATTTGGCGGGTGTCAACATTCAGCTCGGATAAAGAGTTCCAAGAGATGCTTTGGAACGGGGAGCCACAGGCGGAAGACATCCTCAACAATTTTGGACGAGAGCTTGTGACGCTGGGCGGAAAGATCTGGAAGGTCCAGGCAGAGGCGCTTGCCAAAGCTCCTTTCATGAAGTAGTTTGATGTTATGTCAGTAGTTGGAATCTCCACATCTTTCTTCGGTGCGGAATATTATAAACATCAGCAGGGCCTGTGCGGTGTAAAGCATGAATGTACATGGAAACAGGGTGGCTAGTGGATAAGCCCATTTGATTCTCAGAAAAGTCTGAATTCTCCTGGGACATAAGGATAAATATCGTCCCAAAAAATGAACCTCTCTACATTCATCTCAAAGGTCTTGCAACCAGAATCCGGGTTCGGGAAGTTAAATGATGATGATGATATTGTTTAATGTCTCAGGGGGGAGCAGGCAGTGCCTGCACCCCAAAGCCTCCCGAAGGGCATGGAGACATGCTAAGCTGGAGAGATCTCTATATATATACAAAGTAGTAATAGACGCAGAATCCAGATAGCAACTCTTGAGAAGACTCAGTCTATATAGACTGTACATCCACTTCTGGCCCGACGTATGGCCATTCATGGTAAAGAAATAATCAAAGCACACAAGTGCTAAAGGGAGCAGCAATGATTGCTGAGTTCACTGAGAACCAAACACTCATAACAACCGCTCTGTTCTTGGCCATCACCACTAGATGATGTTACCAGGCTGCACCACGAGGAGGTGGCAGAGTCGGACTTCGCAGCCCTTCGGGAAGTTAAAGAGAATCAGTATAGCGTATTTCCCGACCATGTCAAATACGTCAAACATAAGCCGCATATCACAGCTGTGAAGAATCCACACCTATTCCTAGATGTTAAAAGACAAAATTTGCGTGTTGAATGCTGTTTCTATTCTCCGTCGAATGTGAAGAGTATGAAGCAATCTCTTTGCTGCGATTCGAATTTAGTGGTGGTGGTGGCGGACCAGTGATATTTGAAATAGCAGGTGTGGTTTTGTGGGAGTAATGACAACTCTTTTCAGTTATCAATTCTTGAAATTGACAGTCAACTACTTCTGCAGAAATCAAGACATTTCTTGAACAGATTATCTATATAAAAGTACATAGATCTTCAGTAATTGAAGATTATTGATGTGAGAGGTGATAACAGTGTGAAGAGTGAATAGTAGAAGATAGTATATAGTGTATAGTAATAGAATAATAATAACAAATAATAGTAGTAGCAGTGATAATTAGTAGCTAATCACTGAAAAAGAGAAGAAAGAGAAAAGAAGATGTATGGAATACATGCAGACATATATATATGATTCCTGCAAAGTGTCTGAGCTTGCTGAGATAACCCACTATATAGTTCTAATGAACCAACCTTCCACCTCCATCCATCAGCAAAAGAATTTCAATCAACTCTCATGCAAACTGCGACGATTAGTTCTCAGACATGCAAGCAATTGCTGAGGATTATGCCATCGTTTCTTAACGTGTGTTAGCCTATAATTTTTTCACGCTGCTTTTCACGCAGAGTGTCCGAGTTCACCAACATAATTCTGGATCTGGATTCCCGGCCGAGTCACCTGATCCTTCCGACACCCCGTTGGACTTCTCTCCGTTTGCAGGCTGGGTTGGACAATTCATACTTGAAATCCCAGCTTGTTCCTGCATGCTCCTCTAACCTGGCACTCTGGAACTGCGCTTTTCTATTCGCTATAAGATACACATGAAATTTCGCTCTGCGGGGCTCCTGCCTCCATGCTAGTAGGAGGCCACACAGCATACCTAGAGCTTTCGGGATAGCTCCTCAGCCAAACCTGAAAGAGAAGCTCCTTTTTTTGTTCAATTACTGCAGCGGGGAAGAAACTACCCCACAACCATTTTAAACAGTAGAAGCTCTGTTCTTCCTTTCTCATCTCTTTCCGCGTTCATCTCCCGCCCTTCTTACACTGCTCGCTATAGACACCATCTCACCAGCAGAGAGAACAGGAGAGAAGGGTTCTCAGCAGAGAGCAGAGAGCAGAAAGCTACAAGCTATATACCATCACGAGCCATTGAACTTCCTAATTCAGCTATCAGCCTGAAGCGTGTTTTTCATTTCGTCCTACGAGCCGTTCATAAGTATATTCCACGAGAAAAATGGCATCCAACGACCCGCCAGCTTTCCCCGAGCGCATGATGAGCATGGCGGAGCCGGGCATGTTGTTCATGGGATCGGTGTATCGTGAGTGGCAAACCAGCTTCCTTTCTATTTCTTTCTATTTATGTCCCCCTCCCGCATTCTGTCTGTGTTTTAGTTTTTGCACAGCTTGCACATTGTATAATCTTGCAGCATTGCAGCATTGCAGCATTGCAAGCGATCCTTTTCTCGCCTGCCCCTTTTTATTGTGGATGCCACTCCCTAGCGAATGTATTCAGGCTGCGATTGCGATTCGTGGTGTGCGGGTTGTGATTGCACCTTAGGAGAAGAAGGATTCAATTGGCTCCGCAATGATTTCGTTCCCCCCCCCCCCTTTTTTTTTTTTTGCCTAAACTGCCCTTGGATGCGGATATACTCCCTTTGATACTCCTAGAACTACATAATACGGTATGAAGCTTCTGCTTGGATGGGGGATTATGTATGGAATGGCCCACTTCATGAAAGTGCCTGTTATTACCCACCCACCCCTGGAGCCCTTAGCTCTTCCTCAATGCCAACTCATACAGTACCATAACTGATAACTGCATCCTCATTTTCGCCGCTCTTCATCTACACCCAAACACGCGACCTTCTCCCTAAACAAGGATATTCACCGGCTAACCAAAATCTTCATTCACTGGGCCCTTCATGCTCCCACTGCGGGAGTGTCTAAGGGTTTCCAATTTTGCTTTTCATCATTTCCCCCCTGGCAGAATTCACTGCTGTCTTTCTAGAGACAGTCTTTAGAAAAGGCGATATTCTAGCCCCGATATTTCGCCTGCAGGAGATGCGCAGCGAGGCGTTTTCGAGATTTTGGATCAATTTTACCAGTTAGTTTTTTTTTTTTTCTTTTTCTTTTTTTCCCCCTGTATCGGAGAGGTTATCTACCTGCCTATCAGCTTCCCCTTCTTTTCGTTGTACGAAAAAAAAAAGAAAAGAAGAGAAAAGAAATATAAAAAAAATATGAAAAGAATAAGAAGAAGAAGAATAAGTAACCCTAACTTCCTCCACACAGACGTCCGCGACGGCGCCGAAGGGCCCCCAGTCGGCTCATCCGCGCTAATCCCCCCTCTCCTCGCCACAGCCGACGGCCTCGTCCTCGACGTCGGCCCCGGCACCGGCACGCAGACCCCGTTCTTCACCAACGCAAACCTAGTCCGCATGTACGGCGCCGAGCCGTGCCAGGGACTGCACAAGGAGCTCATGGCGAAGGTGGAGGCGTGCGGGCTGAGCGATAAGTACCAGATCCTGCCGTGCTCGGTGGAGCGGAAGGAGCTGTACCCGGCGCTGGAGAGGGAGGGGTTGTTGGCGGAGACGGAGGCGGCGGTTGTGAAGGGCGGGGTGGGGCCGGTGCAGGGCGGGCGCGGCGTGTTTGATACGATTGTCTGCGTGAGGGTGTTGTGTTCTGTGCCGGACCAGCGGGGGACGGTGAGAGGGTTGTATGACTTGCTGAAGCCTGGGGGGAAGCTGGTGGTATGTGAGCATGTGCGGAATAGGTGGGGTGTTTGCTGTGGGAAGGGGAAAGGGAAAGGGAAAAGGGGGGGAAGGGAGGGGGGAAGCTTTGCGGCGTGGCTTGTGCAGATGGTTCTTACGATGTTGGGGTGGGAGTTTTTTATGGGGAATTGCCATATGAATAGGGATACGGAGCGGGTGTTGAGGGAGGTTGCGGAGGAAGCGGGGGATGGAGGGTGGGAGAAAGTGGATGTTCAGAGGTGGTTTGAGTGGTCGGCTCTGCCGTATGTGGCGGGGACATTGGTGAAGAGGCGGGAGGGGTAGGGAGATTGGTATTGGTATTATCTTTTCTTTTATTTATTAATTTATTTTTTTCCGATTCTGTTATGGTTTTCGTAGATGGCGTCCTGTAGATGGAACTGATATACACAGGCACCGCCCATAGGTTTTATACGGACGTAGTGGAGAGCCTTCCACACGCTTCTCTTTATCCAGGTCACGTCACTACCTAGCAAGAAAGAAAGCTAATGCATTCTCGTCTTGTACTCTTCTACGTCTCTTAACTGGTATATTCAAAACAGCCAAAACAAAATGCCGAATACGCACACTCATAAAACGTAATAATGAATCAAAATCAATCATAAGAAACGTAAATGGGCGAACCCGTCCACTGCTGATTAAGAGCAGCCAAACGCGCCATGACATATCGCCCTCTTCTGCCGTCACCCCATCACCCAGCAACCTTCCCTCTTCCCTTCTTGCTCTCCGGCTTCGGCCGACCGGGAGGCCACCAATCAAACAAATCAAGCGCCTCCTCCGTCCAGGGGCCCTGCTCCTCCCCATCATCGACATCCACACACGTGGCAACATGCTGGTTTCTCTTCGGGGCAAGCAGGCTCTGGCGCGTGCGTGGGATCGCGGCCGCCGTTGGTGGTGCCGTTACTGTTGTTGTTACTGTACTAGATGTGGTTGTTCCACGGAGCATGGAAGATGGGTCTGAAGGAGCCTTTTGGAAGGGTTTTTGAGGGCGAGGGGGAGGGGGAGGGGGAGGGGGAGGAGATGGTGCTGGTGCTGATTGACTGGCTTTTTCAGTTATAGTGGGTTGCGAGATGTGGATGGGGAGGGAATCGGATCGCTGTATTGTTGGTTTTGAAGGGTTTATTTGTGGTTCTGGTGGTGTGGGATGGGAGGTAAGTTTTGTTTGTTTTGAAGATGGGGGTATACCGGAGTGACTGATGATAGAAGGTCGGTTTGGGGATTGAGGACTCTCATGAGATTTTGGGGAAGAGTTTTCTATGTTGCACGCCATGGCAGTGGTTTGCGGGGTTTGAGCCACTGGGCTTGGAACAACCTCCTTCTGCAACTTTATGGTTGTGATGGGGGGTGCATGTTTGCTGCTTTTCTGGAAGAACTGGTTTATGGGTTTGGTCTTTTGTGAAGATGGCGGAGGTTCGGCTTCTTGGATGGCACGTAGTGTTGACGTTGATGGTATGAATTGGAGAGTACTATTGATATCAGTTGAAGTGGGAGCTGGTGACTTGAAAGCGGGACCGACAGGAGGGATATTTTCGATTTCAGCGTCTGGGTTTTCAATGGGTAATGGTAATGGACTGCTGTCTCTTTGCGTTCGTACGCTACTGTTCTGTTTCTCTCTTGAGTTTTGTTGAGACCTGGGTGTGGGGTGGTGCCTGGGCTGTGGGGCGAGTAAATCCTTGTACATCAATTTCTTTCGAGGCTTTTCGATGGCCATCCTGAGAATATTGACAGATCCAGGAGGGTTGCCAAAATCGATGATGGTTTGCGATTTCGATCTGTCCCCCTTGTTCGTTGTTTTGGGGATGTCGGTTGACGACGATTTGGACGAAGTGGAAACGCTGTTGCGCACCAGATCCCTGGCTGGCTGAAACGTTGACATAGAGGAGTGCGAGCCGGAGTCACGAAGTAGATTCTGCCATGATGACCTATCGACATCCCTTCCCTGTTCACGGCTATGTACTCTCTGCCTCTTTGGGGCCCGTTCCGTATTCGACGCATCAGCACCATCATTGTCGGGACGAATGGCACCATACCGCTCTTCATAGGGTGACTTCGAGGGCAATGCAGCCCTTCCAATTCGCGCCCGCCCGATACCTAACAGCTCGTTCAGTGACTTCAGCCGTCCCGACGAGTTCGGAGCCACATTGTTACTATGAGCAGAAAGCGCTGGGCGAGACGAGGCGTCCGGCGAGAACGCCTTTGTGGGAGAGGAGGTGGTCGCATGTTTCCTCTTCTCCAACAGCTCCGTCAAGTCTGTCAGGGTCTGCTCCACACACTCGCCCACCTGCACAAGCACTCCTCGCTCCAGCTCCAATTCATCACCGTCATGAAGCCCCTCCCCGTCGCGCCAATGTAGATCTCCGATAAAATTACTCTGGGTGTCGTAGACCATGATCCGCTTGTTGAAGGAATGATAGCGGAGGATGCCATCATGCCATCGTTTCGCTTTGCGTCTAATGTCGTGGGAGAAGAGGCAACGGAACTTGCTGACAGGGGCTGAGGTCTGAGGCGTGGTCGTCGTGGCGGAGGAATTCATGATGACGGGGGGAAGAATGGACACATCCTCTGAGGGACGGACCCAGGACAGAGCCACGACTATAGTCCACCTGGATCTGGGCTGGGGTTTGACTTAATGTCCTTCTCCACCGACTGCAGTCCGTCCCCACGTCTCCATCAGCCCATTTCACACGTTGAGTGCGATGGCAGTAGGATCGATTCCCTCGGTTGCTGATTCTTTGATGTCGAGAACAGGAAATCAGGAAGACGTGACGGTGCTGACTCAGCAGGGTTGATGAGCAAATCTAGGCCTTCTGGGAGGGAGTCCAGATGTACTGGTACCTGGAATAGACGGGCGTGCTCAACCAAATGAAAGTACCAGTACCGGGATGAAGGTATATTTCCGAGCCATTGGGGGTTGGAAACAATATTCCCTTGTAGTTATCCTCCTGTACGCAGAGCACCGTAGGTTGGGAAGGCGTGTATGTACTGGTATCAATGGCCATCGGACGTCTCACGGAGATAAACCAAGCCCGAATATCTATTTTGTCTATAGTGACAGGTTATATATACTACGGAGTCAACTATGTGGAGTTAGTTAACTAAATCAACAACTTAGATGACTAACAATGTTCAACCAGGAAGCAGAAGAGTCGACCTCGCTAAGTAAGCCACCCGACCTCGTTATATAATCAGACCTCACTAGCGCGGCCCGTGCACCTACCCGACCTCACTAGCTTAAAATACAATGACAAAGTGTGACAGCTGTGAAGAACTAGTATTCAATTAATTATCAATTGATTGAACAATGACAACTAGTTAAAGAATTATATATTTTTTATAAGTTATATGTATGTATAGATATTAATTAATTATCAATTGATTTATAACTGATTAAAGAATTATATAGTATATTTCTACAAATTATATATATATATATATATTAATTGATTATCAATTGATTGATAATTAATTAAAGAATTATAATATATTTTTTATAAGTTATATCATATATATATGTATTAATATTAATTAATTATCAATTGATTTATAATTGATTAAAGAATTATATAGTATATTTCTATAAATTATATATATATTAATTGATTATCAATCAATTGATAATCAATTTACAATTGTTTAAAAATTATAATAATATATTTTTATAAGTTATATTAATATATATATATTAACTAATTATTAATTGATTATCAATTGATTTATAACTGATTAAAAAATTATATAGTATATTATTATTTCTACAAGTTATATATATCAATTAATTATCAATTGATTGATAATTAATTTACAACTAATTAAAGAAATTATAACAATATATCTATAATTATATATATATATTATCACTATTATATTATATTTAAAAATTAAAAATATAAAATATTTTTAATTTTCAATTAATTTTAATTAATTTTTAATTGATTAAAAATTGATTGAAAATTGATTAAAATATTAATACATTACTTTATATATTTTAAGAAAATTAAGAAAATTACACAATACAGTTCTGTTACTAGCTGTACTCTTGTATTTTGCAAGGTCAGGTAGGTGCACAGGCCGCGCTAGCAGGATCTGATTATATAACGAGGTCGGGTGGCTTACTTAGCGAGGTCGACTCTTCTGTATGCACATGTTCAACGTCTGTCCCACCGATCGCCAGCCCAGGCCTTGCCAAGGTTCCGCCGCTGTTGCGTGTCGTCTCCAGTGTTGTATTTTTGCCTGCATTGCCATGGGATGGGGCTGATGATTCCTCTCATTGCGGCTCGCGGGGTGCTGGAGTTCGATTTTTGCGGCTGATGCTCGATGCTCTCCTGTCTCGCGTTTCGCGTCTCTCCGTCTTCTGCCAATTGTTCTTGTTCTTGTTCTCCCTCTGTCTCTCCCTCTCCCTCTCCAGTATTGTTACTGTCCTCCAACGCTGAAACAGAGAGACCCGGCTGCAGGGATCTGCAATTGGTGACGCAGCCTGTTGCACCCACTTCAACTGCTTCACGTTCAAACCTTCCTCCTTCTTCCACCTCCTCCTCGCCTCAAGACTCAGCTTGCATTCCTATACATGCACATTTTGGCGAATTCCACTCTCCCCGTTTTCTCTCCTTTTCATCTCCCTTCGCCCTTCGCCCTCCGCCCTCCGCCCCCACTGATCGAGACTTCAACTCCCTGAGATCCACCCCAACGTGCGCCTCGAATTGACTCTCGTGCTCAGCGTCCTGCAAGTTCCACCAAACTGAATCACCATGAATTCGGTACACAGGCAGTTTGGGAAGTTTATGAAGCGGTCTGCGGACGACAGCCAGGTCTCCGTTTTGCTGAAGGATTTTGACGATGCTGACAAACTGCTGGCAAGGGTATGCGAGAAATATTTTCCTCTCCTATATCTCTCTTCTTTCTGAGCCGGATAGGAAATGGATGTGAATACAGACAGACGGGAAGGCATATAAGAGATCAGAAAAGACGTGCTCTGACAATTGATTCCTCTTTCTTCTGGGCATAGGTAATCGACTCTAGCAAAGCATGGCGCGACGCCTGGATGGCCATCCTCACTTATCAGTCCCGAATGGTCCAGGAATTCGAATCCCTTTACAACCCTATAGTGGGTTCCTCAGAGCCCTCCCCCCGGCCCCCAGCAGAAACTCCAGAGGCTACGCTTGCAAGGACTGCTCGACTGCAAGAGGTGTATGAGGAATTGAAGACGGAACTTCTGACGGAAATTAACAGTGTGGATGAGAGAATGATCAAGCCCGCAATGGACGCGAAGGACTACCTCCAGCCGTTTAAAAAGATCATTAAGAAACGTGATGATAAGAAGGTCCGTCCGTGCCTAATATATATACCCATATATACATATGCCCGTTTTGAATAATAGCCATAACCGTTTTCCTGCCGTCATCCCTTAATACTGACAGATTTTCCATTCTAGTTGGATTTTGAGCGATATCAAAACCGAGTGGACACCTCACGAAAGAAGACGAAGCGTTCGGATAGAGACAATGCAGCATTGGCAAAGGCTGAAATAGACTTGAGTAGAGCAAAGGATGTCCGTACATAGATAAACAACGCCCCCCTTCAAACATACAGCTCCTGAACACGGAACACTGAATATCATAACAGGAATATAGTGCTGCGGACGACCATCTTCGCGCCCATCTCCCGCCATTAATCACCGCCACATTCTCCATCCTTCCTCACCTTCTAGCTGCACAAATTGATATCCAAAACACCCTTCTCGCACTCTACTACACGACCCTCCACAACTACTGCGAACAGGAGAACTTTCCCTCCCCTCCACCCGCAATGGACCTGGTAATCCAAACCTGGGAACGGGATATCTCCCCCGCCCTTCGCGAAGTAGAAACCATTACCTGCCTCTCCCACCGCAGACCTTCCCGGCAACCCAGAACGTCAGACGAACACAGGAACGGCTCGTTCGCAAACGGGTTGAACGCCCGCCGCGCCAACAGCAACCAACCAGCCATCCGCAAACCATCCGTCTCCCCCATCCGCATCCGCGCGCCATCCCCCGTCCTCGAATCAAAGCCTCGACTAAACGGCAACGCCAATGGCCACTCACCAAACACAACATATTCGTCCTCCACGAAACCCAAATACTCCCCGGAGATCCAAGATTACTCTACCATACCCGCCCCAAGCATTCCTCCAACCGGGTATTCCCCCGCAGGGCCGCGGGTGGACTATTTCAGCCGCGAACGGCAACCGTCGTCGTCCGGGCACAGTTCCGCTGGCGCTGTGTCATCTCTGGGCATGACACAGATAGCTGCTGCTGCGGCAAAAAAGAAACCTCCCCCACCACCCCCGCGCTCAGCGTCCAGCCCTGCCGTTTTCGTGACAGCCCTCTATGACTTCCCCGGCCAGGGGTCGGGGGATCTTGCTTTTCGAGAAGGCGATCGCATACGCGTGCTTAAGAGGACGGATAGTACGGATGATTGGTGGGAGGGGGAACTCAAGGGTGTAAAAGGAAGTTTCCCTGCGAATTACTGCGAGTGATTTGAGCAGGAAAGGGGGAGAGACTGGAGACTGTGAGATGAAACTGGAAAACTGGTCCCCGAACTATAAACAGTATTGACCACCTCCTTCCCGC